TCGTGTAGGTTTGCGTATATTTTTGCAATCGAATATGTCGACTTTCTCGCGGGGTACACCAATTTTATTTTCACACTTTTTCACTTTCGCCTTGCGATTGTTTATTATTGTCTTGTATTTCTCATTGTCGCATCGTACGGAAAATCCACGCGCGGTGAAAAACGCGGAAAACTAAACATTCCGTTGACAGAACACCTGCCAGGTGTATAAGAAAGACTCGTAAAACAACGATTTTACCGCGATATTGCCGGTTCTTCTCGATCCTACTGGTATCAGTTTTCATATACCCTTAACATCTTTAGATAAAATCCCTGTTCCCTATATCTGTATGTCTGTCTGTCTGTCTCTCTCTCTCTCTCTCTCTCTCTCTCTCTCTCTCTCTCTCTCTCTCTCTCTCTCTCTCTCTCTAATTCTAACTCAAATATCGTCTGGCACACATTCTTTTTCTTTTCTATGATTATGCTTGGAAAGCAGCAGAGAAACGGTACGAGTCTCGACTTAAATCACGTAGGAGACACCCTCCCCCTCGATCGGTTTCTCATCCCACCCACCCCTCAGGCCGTATTCATTTAAATTTATAGTTCGTACGTTGAACAGTCTGTAGTAATCGTGCTAGCGTGAATAATGTTACTGGTGTTGTATCGTCGTTACGTGACAACGTCGTCGACGGCATGAGGGAGGCTCGTCAGAGTTATTATGTTTTTTACCGTCGAATTTTTTTTTTATTTGAAATATGTTTGATTGAACTTATAAATTTTCATTTTCTTTCGTTTCTGCCTCTACGAATAACAACAGACTGCCAATTTATCATTTCCTTACTTTTTTTTTTTATTTTAATATTTTTCTCTATTATGTTATTTACTAATTTTCATGATTAGTTAATTTTTATTATAGTTTTTATAAGACAGATGGATGAAAAATATTTCGAAACATACAGGTCACTTTTACAATTTGTAATTTCATCTTTTGCAATTTGCTTTTTTCAGCTTCCTGTTAGCTAGATAAAGTACGCGAATATAAAAAATTAAAAATTTTTTTTTTTAATTTTATAAACGGTAAAAGATTCTAATTGAGCAATAAGTGCTTTAATATTTGATTATTTCATTTTTTTCAAACGATATAATAATGAAACAAAATATATCCAGCTAATACAATATGATACTACATTACATCTACAACTGATGTTAATAATTTGGAAATAAATTTCTATTAGAAAATTCAATTTTTTATTCCAATTTATCGTACAAGAATAATAAATGCATATATTTACGAATATTTTACTTTTGAAATTACAAATATTATGTATGTACAAATTTATTGATGTTGAAAAATTTTTTATAACATTCTTGCTTATTTACAAAATTAAAGTAATGCTAACCTATTATAACGAATAATCAAAGTGTCCTTTAATATTGAATAAAAATTTAACAAGTTTTTTGTTTATGTACAAAATATGTGATTTAACTATAAATCTTCGATTATGCGTTATATACTAGGGCAGCAATTTACTTTATTTTGTTTAACTATTTCATTAGATTTTTGTTTATTTCAGCTCAAAAATTTTTAGATTTTACTTAAAGTACGTTTTTCTGATATTACAATAACTTAAAATTGTATTATTATTTTAGTTCTTTCAGAAACAATCACTAAACAGCTAATTGAAGTTTTCATGAAAATTTAATCAATAATATTTCAGAAATAAATTTTATTTATATAAGAATTATACTCATACTTATTGCATCCATTGGACGACTAATAAAAATTAACAGAGCTGCCTCGAAATTGATGTTCAAAAAAAATTTTTTTTATTATCACGTACTCGTCTATTTTTACAGGACACTGCAGTTGAAATATCCAGTGACTCGCTGGCTGTTTTTTGACTCTGGTTTTTTATCCCGACAGTAAACGTTGAATTTTCACTTGTTATTCTATAAACTTTTGTTTATCATATTGAACTACCTACTCTCTCTCTCTCTCTCTCTCTCTCTATATATATATATATATATATATATATATATATATATATATGTGTGTGTGTGTGTGTGTGTGTGTGTGTGTGTGTGTGTGTGTGTGTGTGCATGTGTGTGCGTGTGCGTGTGTCTATGTATGCGTAGAGGGAGAGAAAGAGAGAGAGAGAGAGAGAGAGAGAGAGTATATATATATATATAGAAATATATTTATTTATTTACCGTTTAAATTTAATGCAGCACACTTTATATTCTATTGTTGCTAATTTTTCTTCTTCTTTTTTTCTACCAATTCGAAATGCTTCGCATACAACAAAAACAGATGGTACATAACGAGTAATAGTAGGCTTCTAGAATAAAAGCCACATCTTTTCCTAAATACACGTATTTTAAAATGAACGAGATATTTTATATTGATTTATGAAGCAACTTTTTGAAGGAAATTTTGGTAATTCAGAAATGAGTAAAAATTATTATCGATGTGTTTTGGAAGAAAAGTAGTATGGAAAACGTAATTCCGTCAATTTTTCATTTATTTTCATCGGCCGGGTGCATTAATTTTTCATAATGGCTGTAAAAATGTTCTAATCTATCTAAAATTTATAAAATTATAAATATAGTATTTAGCTTCGCGAGGGAAATATCCATTGGTCTTGCTAAATACTTAATTTCGACGCTTCAAAAGTCATTCGAGTTCAATAGAAAGTAAATAGTATTTAAAAATTGAAGTGCATTTTAGCAATCAAGAAAAATCAAATGGAACGCTTACACCGTCTCTTGAAAAAAAAAAGAAAAAAAAAACAAAAACAAAAAATCACGAAATACATTATAAATAACGAAAATTGACGCGGTCATTTGCTCGATTGAAAATTGTCACTATACTTCGCTACTTCACGGGCTATGTAAACACTGATAAACTAAGCGGAACGTTTAAAATCAGCCAGCACAATGGATACAAGTTCGCAAAGTGTTGATAAAACGAGAGAAAAAGCACGGGAAGGAGTAAGAAATGGCGAATTGTTAAAGTAGACGAGAGAAATAAAAAAAAAAAAAAAAAAAAAAAAAAAAAAAAAAAAAAAAAAAAAGAAGAAGAAAAACGAGAAAAGAAAAGGAAAAAAATAGCAACTTTCGACTAATACTAACGATCTGACGAAGCATGATATTAACCTCATACAATTAGGTGCGAAACTTGGGCGAGGGCGGGAACACCTGTTTGGATTCGCCGGCACGCAAGATTGATTTGCACAAGCCGGCCGGGCTCTACCCATGCCATCGCCAAGGAGGCAACCAGGTACACACATACAGATACAAGGCAACGAAATTAGTCGTATCTGCACAACCAACACGCGCGCACAGTCGCTGCGCGAAAATGGATCATTCTTCCACCCCCACCTCTTCTCTCTCTACACACACACGCACACACAATTCTCCTCTGCCGTTCCTCACTGCCTACCACAAGCGTACACTCGAGCGCCTCTTTCTTTGCTTTGAGAGTCGACCCGCACATTTCCGAAGAATATTCACTAAATTTTGATATTATTTCGATATTCTTTCGGCTTTAAAATAAATATTGCTCAATTGAAGCTTTGTAAATTTGGCGAGGAGACTTTATTTACGAGGGAGCTGAAAGGCTGGGCAAGACATGGCGAGCCGAAGCGCGAGTTTCGTTCGATCTGGGAAGAATCAAAAAAAAAAAAGAAAAAAAAAAGAGTCTTTGAACATGCGAACGCGATTTGATGGGAACGTCAATTTAGTTTAGCATTTTAAATGGAGCTAAAGTGCATTGGACATAGAATTCAAGAGCTTTCGCGACTCTTAATAAATGCATCGGGTATCTGACAAATATAAATAAGTTGCCTCGCGAGGCCGCGAGTGTCCATGTGCGTTTTACTTTAACAAAAGATAATTATTATAATTTATATAGACTCGTAATAGAGGCTTTTCCCGTCGAATACGAGATGAGCAGTAAGCTGCTTCTAATTGAATTTTTCATTGAAGCTGATCGTATGTCGATATGCATAAGAAAAATGGAGGAGTAAAATCGATTTGAGCAAGCGACGTTTTGTTAGTGGTAAATAGCATTGCTTTTTGAGTAGGATAACGATGATTTGCCACTCGCGTTTATAAACTAAGGGAGCTTATTATGGCTATATTATGCGGTAATTATGCGAGTTTTTAGTGGAAAGTATTTGAGTCTGGCGTGGACTTTCCTGGTAATGGATCGAACGATGCTGTGCCGTTAAATCGAAATAATTAATCGTACGATGAATACTATTTGAAGGAGCCCAAATAAGCCCAAATAGTAAGCTTTAGAGCTTTAGAGCACGCTCGCGAACTATTTTCAAGCGCGAAAGCACACGCGCCACGATTCTCCATAATAATGAAACAGGCGCTCGAATTGTTGGTTCTTCTATTAAAAACATTCCCCCTCTCTTTCATTACGCAAAGCAAGCAGCATGAGTAAAATGCATTTTAGCCAGCCGATATGTGCCAACAATAATATAAACTTACACGTCCGCATCTATAAATCTTCCTCGTACGTAACTAAGGTTGCTTTATCGTAATCGCTAACGTCACATGTCGTTATATACACGACCATCACAATTCTCACAGCGCTACATGCCATGTGGAATACTGCTCATCCCGCCCCCGCCCCGTAGCGCTCCAACAAGCGCAAGCTCAAGGGGAAGGATAGTAATTAGTCGTGTGTATGAATGAAGTTAAGTCGTTGAGTGAAAGTCCTTTTTTTAATAAAATGTTTCGTATCCTTTCATTCGTTTGAATGTAGATCCGACATTTGGATAGCCGACTGTGCATAGACTCGGCAGGTATACCAGATGACATGAATAGTCCTGCGGCCGTCTTTGAATGTCATTTGCAAGGCGGCAATCAGGTACACGCGACGCCTCCGCATTTCTTTCCGATGTGATGATTTATTTGAAGCCTTTGTATGTACTCTTTCTCTTCCACGGCTCATTTATGTATATAATAGATTTTTGAGCTCTAT